CTGGATTTTGCCTTGGAATGTTGCCGTACATATATGCAGTAATATTTGGTAATATCACAACTTTCTCATGCTGGAAACCGCCAAAGGACACTAATAAATCTCCTGTCAGTGCTTTTGACGTCGTCCAGTCGAACCCGTTTCTCAGTAAGTTTGGGCGTGACTGCCGACGTGGAGATTATGGGAGTTCGACACAGACTGGAGTTGGACTTGTCTCAGAACATGATGCAACTCCGAGTAAAACTGCCACGGGCCTTTGGTAAGAACTTGTTACAGGAAGATGAAGAAAGGTATAAATTAGGAGCTTGGGATTGTTACAGGATAAATGTTGATTAAAGGAAAAGGGGAATCCAGGAAAGCATTTTTATTTTTTGACTATTTGGTGTTTTCTTCTAAGTCGTTGTGATTTCCAGTGGGAAAATCTTCCTCGGCGCGGCGCGGGAGCAGCTGTGCCCATCTCTGTGGTGACAACACGGCTGTCATCTGACTCAAAGAACACACATAAGCAAGCGCACATGTGGAGACTCCTAAATCAGACCATCTGCGACATGTTTTCTTGTGGCTGCAGAACTTTTTCTGTTTTTTTATTTAACTTTTGAGATGTGCACACATCCTTTTACACTCGGGACCTTAATGTGTGTGCTCAGTCTGGCCTGGAATGGATCCAGCTACAAACCACACTGTCTTGTTGACATGATTGTGCATAAATACATTTGCATGACTGGTTTTATAGTATTTATGGCTTAATGTTTGCCTCCTGGGTTTGATTTTTCCATTACATGTAACACTGTCGATGTCTACGCCTGCCAACAAGGTTTGAACTTCAGAACTAAAAGCCTACTAGACACTGGCAGCAAATGTTAAATAGTAAAAAAAAAAAAAGTCATTTTCCAAGGTGTGTGATTAACTGCTACCCAGTTTTTATTTTTTAATTTAAGGAAACTTTCCCCTTACCCTCAAATAGGCTGAATTTAGCTGTAAACAGGGTATCTGCAGGTTTAAGGGAGCCAAATTTAAGACTTTTTAAGACCTTTTTTAAGGCCACTTTGACCAAATTTAAGCTATTTTTCAAATTAACTTTAAGCTATAATTTCCAGCTATTGCCTGGAACCGGTGCTAACCACGTCGCCAACGTGGGATTAGCCATCCAGTTACCATTAAACTTCCCCATGGCACAAGCTCCCACTAGCTTAACCAGCTAAAAACAGCCCCCTTTCACAACCAACTGAACGTGTACGGTTCCGCTTACGGCAACATCACACACACAAAAAAAGAATCTTGTTTATTGGGTCTTTAGTAATTTAAGACCTTTGGAAACTGTATTAAAGGATTATTTGTCATTGTTAAGGATTTTTAAGGCCTTAAATTTGGAAAAGCTAATTTAAGACTTTTCAAGGACCCGCGGACACCCTGTGTACATTTTGGGTAAAATCCAACACAATCAGGTATAAAATATGCCAAGAATGTGAGAGAAATTTCCAGAAAGTCTGCCTCGTGTATTACCAACAAACAGCTTTAAGTTGTAATATTTCACTTTAACCTTTTACTAGTAGGGTTATTCAACGCGTTATCATTTGGATGAGTCCTACCTTGGCTTTCACACAGGTGAATAACAACTTTTTTATGGCAATTAGATCAAATTTGGATTATTTCTTTCACCTTTTGGGACGTCATCACTAAGAACATCCAGGAAGTCAAACGATGGGCACCAATCTCCCCTCTTCTGGACGTCTTCCTTCTTTATGCTCTTTGGTTCTCTGAAGTGCATGTAATTGTCAAGCGACTTTCCCTCTGCTTTAGAAAGACCTTAAAGAAGGAAAAATAAAAATAAATCAAAGCTGAATCACAAAGTGCAGAGGCGGCTAACCAGTGGAATGCAGCCAAACAAACACGATGGGTTTGTATGTCTGATCTAGCCACTCAAAACAAATCTGACTGATCCACGCATGAGTCAGTTTTATGCACCGGCTAATCTCAACACAGCACAGCGAGACATCTGCACCGCAGGATTTACAGCATATTTACCGCCAAAGCTGCGATTGAGCTGAACAAGATCACCAGTCTTGATGAAGGCTCCTCGAGGCACCACAGACACTTCTTCATCGATCTGCTTAACCGTCACAGCCAGCCTCATCTCCTCAGTCGCCACCAACTGCAACCAAGAATGTTTCATTTTGATAGATTGCACTGATAATTTCAAACCTAATCTGATTTTTTAATCATTGAAAAACAAACATGTTTTACTTTTATGTGCTTTTTGAAGATCTTTCTTTAGACTTTGGCTTCGTTTTTGGACACGTTAGTCCAATCCTTGACCATTTATGACTTTTTTAACAGAATGAAATGACTGTTCCACATGTCGTTTCCCTCCTCTCCTCTGACACAGGACTAGTCTGCATGAGATACGGCCTCAAGGTCTCATGCATTTGTTATAAACTGCTTCTTTCCAGCTCAAGAGAAGAATGAAGAAAGGACTCTCTCCTTTTAATAAATCAAAGAACTCTATTTTAATAAAGCTAATCAAATAAAGTGTTAGTCAATAATAAGATGTGACCAATCGGTGAAATCTAAATATTAATTACTTTATTATAATCCTATAGAATATAATAAGTAATATGACTTTAAATGTTTCCACTAGGACTGATCTCACGTAGCGTTAAGACATGACACATTGCTTCACTGATCCAATCAGAATCTGCCAGATCTGACGGAGGCGTGGTTTTGGTGGTGTTTGGTAAATCTGTCATCTTTTCATTCGACCATAAACCAAAACATCCGAAGTATAAAACTATGCCCACGCCATCTCTAACGCCAGTTCAAAGCGTTCTAGAGAAGTTGTCGGAGTGGCCAATCCGTAACTTTCCTCTTCAGCCGAAAGAACCAACGACACGCTGGATAAAATCTGTTGCTGTTCCAACCAATCAACGGTTCCTTTCAGAATAAAAGCTGAACCATCACGACCCAGGTTTGGGTATCGCTAGATGCCAACAAAACTGCCGTGACCCGGAAGTATCTCACAGACTGGTGGTCGGCTGCCGTGGCTGTTTCTACGGGCTTCGGCTCCATAAAGGTCAAGCTGGACCTCTACACGTCCTGATCTAGACTGGGACTTCCTCTAAGGGTACGTAGGCCAACAGAATGGCGTCGAATGTGTTTAAGAATCTCCTAACCAAAGCTTAATGTGAAGACGTCACCTTCACTTCCCATCAGAACTAATCGTTTCTTCGGATTTGCTGGTTCTAAACAACATTACACACTACACCATTCTCCGTCTCATCCACCTTAGTTACACCATACATTTAGTGTTAAAGTTAGTCTAGTTTAATTAGTTAGTAATAAATCTGTAAACTTTTAAACTTGACTCTCTCTTCTGTTGTCTCTGAGTGAATATGAAGCTGTTATCTAATCCCTGCATTAAAAAGATCCAATCTTCTGGTTTAAATAACCCAACAGATCCATAAGGTGGATTTCATATTTCCTATAGAATCCCACGTCTCATGGCTCATTAAATAGCATGTAATTTAAAATCATTACAAAGGAGTACAAAGGCTCTGAAGCTTGCATAAGCTCATCTTGTGTGGACACAAACATAAAGAACAAAAATCAATGGGCATGTTTTTAGCAGCCTTAATGTAAACAAAATAAAATAAAATCAACATTTTTTCACTCGGAGAACATCTTGCATTTTACTTTGAAATTAGACACACATTAAAAGACTAATGTAGACGTAGCACTCACTGGTAGTCACTATACATAGGGAGCCTAAGCCACGCCCATCTACTTCCGGGCCATGGGTCCCCAGAAATAAGAAAAAGTGAAAGATTCAAATCAATGGTGCTATAAAAGCTATTTTCTAATCCTGTTTGACATGTGCCATGGATTTCACACCACGAAGACACATTTTGATGCCAAGAATGCGCTCATTTTTGAATGGTGGCAAAAGTTATTTTAGGTTTTGTGTGGAAAAAACGTGTAGGACTACAAATGTTTGTCACCATATTGAAGTCATCAAACCAGACACGGAGAAGAAAATGGCGGAGTTTAGCCAGCTTTGAATCCTTCACGGCTGAAGGAAAGACACAGCCTCCACTCCTAGGCCCAGCCTTTGTCCTCGTCTCCACCGTCCAGGTGTGCGATCCTGGCTTTCAAAAAGATGATCCAGGCGAACAAAAAAGGTCCAAGTTCCAAATAAACAAACGGTTTACTTGCAGGGGGATGTTTTTTTTTTACTTGTGTAGAGGCTATTTGTCCATAAAACTTAAACAAAAAATAATCAAACACTTTCAAATGGCCACTGGGCTATGTCAAGGGTTTACGCACGGGTAAAAAAAAGTTTCAAATAAAGCAATGTCCATGCCAAAATTGAGTTTGGTGGTGGTTTATTCACTCAAGCAGCAAGAGCACAGATTTTTGCCTCCTCTCTGTCCAGGGGCGTGTCCAGGGAGTGGCCTGGGGTAGCACATGCCACCCTTGGAATCTGATTGGCCACCCCAGGTGCTAACACACTAATTTACCTTTAAACTGGCTTTTCATTGTCCGCAAAAGGCTTGGGGGTAAAACAAAAAAGGCATAACCATTGGTGCCACCCATGCACAAAGTTGTGCCTCACCTGGGCCACCCCATTTTAAAAGATCTGGCCACGCCCCTGTCTCTGTTTCTGTGTGTGGTAAAAAAAAAAACATGTTCCCTGGCAGCCATGGCTGCTCCACCCACCTTGACCTATTTATACCAATAATCACCCACACCTGACCAACAAACAATATAACTAATGAGCCAAAATAATAAATAAAAAGCATTATGCAAAACAAACAAATTACCTTTGGCATCAAATAAAGAAAATAAACTGGGCTATAACTTAGGCCTATAATAAAGTAAATAGCTTCAACAATAGATAATTTAAGTGAAATCTGTGTTATGCTTGGTGGCATGATCACACATACCCCTGCACCTTTATCTCCATCACTGCGGCGGGTCCTTGCTGGGTACACAAAAGACGGCTCCCCTCTGAAAGGACCCCTTGCATTTGCAGCTACCTGCTGGATCATGGAGTCCGTGATGGAGGGGAGGAGGAACCAGTTCATGCAGTCAAAGCTGGAGGTGACAGACCGCAGGTCAGCCAGAACACATCACACTAAAAACAGTTGGGTTAAAAATGACCCAATTTGGGCTGTTTTTTAACCCAGCCGCTGGAGCAACATTGCACCAGCCCAGCAGTATTTAATTCAAGATGGGTTCCTCCATTTTAACCCAGCAGATGAGTTAAATATTCCACCCAAATTCTGGGTCAAAATAGCCACAAATCTGGGTAAATTCAACCACACTTACGTGTTATTTACTCTACCTAAATGCTGGGTCAAATTACTAAAACTATGGGTTGTTTAAACAACATAATGTTCAGTAATCACTCCAAATGTTTGGTCAATATGCCAAATTATTTCTAACTCATTACATACAGTGCATTTTGGAAGACAGAAAATTGCACCTATCCACACTCAACTATCAAAACATACATGCTAGACTTGGTCACGTAAAGCATATACAATAAAATAAAACTTCAACAATACTGAAATCTTTACAAGGCACTGCCTTGAAATTTATTCATATAAATGTAAACAATATAAAAGTTCTAATCACTTCACATCAAGAACTGCAACAATGTACACTGAAATACATGTAACTCAGTGCTTAAAAAACAACATTTAAATGGTCAAGAGTACATTTTACAAATACCTATTTGCTTCTTTTGCTAGCACGTATTCTACTCTGCAGAAACTTTACTAGTTTCGACTCCCCTCCTGGGATTTCATAGACGGTGGTTTGCAGGAATTTCCAGACGTGTTCACAATGCCTCGGGTATTCACTGTCTAAAATAAAGAATGCCTTGAAGCAGGCATCGACGGCCTGAAGCAGTGTGTCATGTTCCACAGCCTGGCCAGCAATGATGACAAAGGCCTGAGACACATGCTGTGTTTCATTTCCCAACGTCAGCACATAGGGGAATGGTCTTGTGGCCTTGGCCTCGTGGAGGTATTCCACCATGTTGGTTCCAGGCTAAAAAACAGAAAGAAAGCATAACAACAAACAGGTGAGAAGGAATGCGTGAGTAAGGAACAAATGTCTACCAACGTCAACTGGGTGACAGTGGCACAGGAGTTAAGTGCTTGCCCTGTAATCGAAAGGTTGCGTGTTTAAGCCCCGCTCAGTTTGTCGCCGTCATTGTGTCCTTGGGCAAGACACTTAACCCCCCCCCCCCCTTGCACCAGGGCAGCTATGGCTACCCAGTGTGTGAATGTGCTTGTGAATGGGTGAATGACTGTGTTGTAAAGTGCCTTGGGGGTTCAGGGCTCTATAAGATGCTATATCAAATAAAGGTTATTTATCATTTAACTAGTACAGCAGAATAAAAAAAGACATTATGACAAGCATTTTCCTGGTCCTCACAAGAAATATTTAAAGAGCAAAATGCAGGTTAAAGACTCCCATGAACCAATGTTTAGAGAAATACAATAGAAACTCGTTCAAAAATTTTTTTTTACACATATATAATTTAGGCTTTTAGAGTCATTTTTGTGAGATTTTTTGTTTTGCCAAACCAAGTGACGTTTGCTGAGGGAGTCCTGTTCGTTTAATCTAGCGATGCACCGATATGAAAAATTTTGGGCCGATGCCAATATCCGATATTAATATCACTGTTATGGCCGATAACCGATATTTGCTGATACCAATATACTGACATTAATGCTTCTAAAATCAGATTTTGTATAGAATGAACATTTTTAAAGCGGAATTTACGTTATGTACACACCACACACACATTTACAGTTCTGAGATGATTTCATTCACTGTTCACATGACTTAACAATCACACATCACCCCCCTCACTCTCTGAAACAGGCAAACAAATGGAGACAAGATGGAAAAAATATCGGTTGTTAATATCGGCCCGGTTTTATTTATCGAACCGATATCGATATGTAAAAAAATGACTAACATCGGCCGATACCGATATTCATCCCCTGTTTAATCCGGAGAAAAATCTGGATTCTAATGCGGTTCTGACACAGAGGAAACTTTAAATGTTTATAATTCTACTTCTAATGGACCAAAACCATACAGCAAGGTCTGAATGGATTAAAGCACAAAAGTGTTAACATATAAATATGTTAACTTCTGAGTCAGTATGGTGTGGTAACGAGGCGATCATTCAGTGGCACTGCAGCCTTGTTTTAAAAGCATAAGATGTTTTTTAAGTGACCAACACAAGCTTGTAGATGACTTGACAATATTTGTAGGTATAGAATAACAAATCTGGATATGTGTGTGTGTGTGTGTGTGTGTGCGTGTCTGCGCACACACATTCATGAGCCAAAGAATAACAGGTATATGTTAATGAAAAGATAAAAGTTTGCCTTTAGATGTACTGGAAGACTTACAGGTTTATGGTGGATGAAGGCCAAGTTACATTCTTCAATGGTGTGGCGAACCATTATAGCACTGTGGCCACGGCCGAGTTTGTAAGCAGTTGGAGGGAGCAAGGATGGCAACTGCCTCAGGCTGAGTTCACCAATGGCATCTGTTGAAGACAATATAGGTGAGAATATAATGTGGAATGGCATACATGTGATTTGTCATTTGGTATCCAAATAACATGAAACCTATGGTAACAGTTACATGCAGCCAATTCCCACCCTGTGGATGGTTATAGTGACATGTCTGTCGCGAACAAAATGGCTCTCAGAGCCAGCTCGTTGATGTGACCAATAGGAGCCGACTCCCTCCTGCAGGAGCCGGAGAGAATGACACAGACTGTACCTGCAGGCTCTAGAGCCGCTAAAAGACTGCAAAATGTGCGCATGTGGTACGCGCGCACCAACACGCAGCATACCTCTGATTGCTGTGAGACAAGGAGGAAGGGGGTGGTGAGGTTGCAGTGCACCTCCGACCACTCTGAAAGCAGGGAGAGGGATGGCACGCACAAATTGCCAGGGACAATTACTACACTGAACAAAAATATAAATGCAACACTTTTGTTTATGCTCCCATTTTTCATGAGCCGAACTCAAACATCTGAAACCTTATCTACATACACAAAATACCCATGACTCTCAAATATTGTTCTGAAATCTGTCTACGTGTGTTAGTGAGCCCTTTTCCTTTAACAAGATAATCCATCCCACCTCACATGTGTGGCATATCAAGGGGCTAACTAGACATCATGAATAATGTGCAGGTGTGCCTGAGACTGGGATTGGGATTATCTTGTTAAAGGAAAAGTGCTCACTAACACACAGGTGGACAGATTTCAGAACAATATTTGAAAGTCATGGGTATTTTGTGTTTGTAGATAAAATTCTAGGTGTTTGAGTTCAACTCATGAAAAATGAGAGCAAAAACAGAAGTGTCGCGTTTATATTTTTGTTCAGTATACATTAAAATGATAGGACCAGTAAACATTGGTGGAGACATATCTGTAACCCCGGGTTTCCACGGGAGCCGTCAGCAGCACGTTACCGCAGCAGCACGTCTTGCTCGCGTAAACTGCTGCTTGGCCCTTCCCACGAGACGCGAAGGAGCAGGGGAGCAGCTGTCACCAACCGAGCACGAAGTCACACGAGTGACTTCGTCAGTAAACACAACAACAAGCAGGAGAAAACTACAACATGGCTCCAAAATGTTTGTGTTTTATGTTCTGTCCGTTTTATAATCGCCAGTACGGACCTGAAAAACAAAGGAGACCGCTAGCTAGGTGATAACTTCTCACGGGGCCGCACAGTTAGTAACTTTTTTTAAAAGTAAAGCAACCAGAAGGCAGTACGTTCTTTATTCTGAAAATCTCGGGAGCTGCGCTCCATTTCCGCGTCCGATTTCCTGTCTTTCCTTCCCCACAAATGTCGAACTTGACCCGTTTCAGAGGCGTCGCGCGTAGAAAATAGAACCGGCGCGTAAAGGCCGCGACATGCTGCTCCTGAGACGCGGCCGACTCGCGCTGCTGACGGCTCCAGTGGAAAAGGTTCTGTTGACCACAGCGGTTCCTATCAGCAGCTATGATGTGCTGCTGCAGTAACGTGCTGCTGACGGCTGCTGTGGAAAGCCGGGGTAAGAGACGAGCACTGCACAGTGTTTCCCCTACAATGGCTCAGATGTGGTTACATGCGCTATTACAGAAAGTCCATCACAGCCCAGGTGAGTAATGTGCCCATCAGTTAGACTAGGGGTCTTGTTGCAGGCTTTTGACACTAGTTGGGACTAAAATAGCCTAGTGAGGGAGACCAGCCTCGTTGGGGAAACCTTACATTGACACAAACCATATTGACAATTGCAAAGATGGCAAGCAAGAATATTTTACCTTGTGTTAACCCATCCAGGGACGAGATCAGCTTTCCCTCCCGTCTTGACAGGTACAGGATTTTCTCCGCATAAATGGGTAGCCAAGTTTCAAACAACTTTGATGAAGCATCCCCATGCAGGATAAGAAAGTCCTGTGCAATGTACAAAATAGGAAACTTTTTTTAAACAAATTCAATGTGGCATACTAATAAAAAACAATCATCGTCATCACATGTTATTATTATTTCTCTAAACGTACCATGCCTTTGCTCATTAGGCGAGGGAATTCTTGGAGGATCTGGTAGATGGTCCAATTGTTGTCCCTAATGCACTTGGCCCTGTAGACTGCAGTGTCTTGCATTTAGTCCTGTACCTGACTGAGGGGCTGGCAATTGTTTCTTAACCATTCTTTAAGCTGTGATGCGCATTCGTCAGATATGGTACACTCTGTTAAAAAGAAACACAAGAATTTGATTCTGACACGCAAACACATACATGATGAAAAAATTTGAACACATGTAGATTCCAGTTTTTGGGTGAACTTTTTAAAGGGGTCATCACCTGAAATGTTTACCTTTCTATGTTAAAACATGTATATAATGGTTTGCTAATGATTGTACACTGGCCTAGAAGCCAATATTTAAAAGAGATTATATATAATCTGAATATTTGTGCTGACTATCCACAACAGAATGATAGTAAAAGTACAAGTAACATTTTTAGATCTATTTGCCCTATTTAGATCTATTTAATAGATCGATTTAAGACATTTTAAATACTTTAAGCGTCTTAATTTTCTTTTCATCTCCTTTACCTAGCCGGGAGCTGTAGCTGCCGAGAGATTTCCCGCTCCTCCCCATCCCCCCACGACTGTTTCATTAGCAATAGCCACAGACTCTACTCATTAGTTCAAATGCAAAGTACAGAAGTTCCACTGGATTTTTTAATGTAAAAAAGTAATCAGAATAGCAGTTTACGTACGACACAGATAAGCTACGGACACTAGAAAAGGCTCAAGACAACCGCTAAATGGCTAGCTAGCTACATTGTTACCCAAACCAACCAATCAGCCTCAACAACATTCAGATACCAACAGGTAACAGGCACAGACGTGACGAGAAATAGATAGTAAACACAAACAATACATACCTCTTATTGTTGATTTACCTCGCAACAACGATGTTTTTCCCCCGCTCAGATCGAAGACAAAATGGATCCTGGCGTTGTCAAGGATGGCTGTAGATGTAATGATGATCAAACCGGTTCAAACCGGTTCAAACAAGTACAACAACCCAGGTGCTGGGTCAAGTTGCACTAAAATAACCAAAATCTCATTCAAATAACCCAAAATGGGTTACACATTTCATAACCCAGCAGTTGAGTAGATTAAATAACCCAAAAGTTGCACAAAAATAACCCAAATCTCATTCAAATAACCCAAAATGGGTTACACATTTCATAACCCAGCAGTTGAGTAGATTAAATAACCCAGCAGTTTTTAGTGAGCACCATCAAGTAGCTCGAGTGTCTGCCTCACCTGTACAGGTACTTCCTGTCTGCCAGCTCGTCTTGTCCTCTCCCTTGGGCGATGTAGTAGATGTTTTTCATCGCCAGTATTTTGCCCCAGAGCAGAACTCGTTGGAACTTGTACTTTTGCTTCAGAATCTCGAAGGACGTCTTCAGAGCGATGATTTTTTCGGTGCTGTACGCCCCCCCTTGACCGGTTACGAAGTTCAGGGAGTAGGTTAATAAGTCAGCATCCATGTTGAACCAGGTTTGGTTGGTTTGATCCTCAAAAAGCCACGTTCTGGTTCTGACTCACAACGGAACCGCAACACACACGCAGCGCTTTTTTCTGTTACTATGGCAACCGAACGCTGCCGTTAGGAAGTCCCGCTTGTGTCGTCACTTTTCACACAAAGTCAAATAAAAAATTACCCAATAAAAAGAAAATCTTATTTTGGGGAGTTATATGCTTAGAAAACTCTTGTTAAAAAAATAAACGGGAACGTCTGACGTAACCCTTCTCTCATGGACGTAATTTTGGGGGGGACAGGGGGGACATGTCCCCCCCCCCTACTTTTTCCAAAGTCAAGTTTTGACCCCTGCACTTTTTACCATCCAAAAACAATATTACGCTATATTAAATTGACACTGGTTGAGCTCTAGGACCAAGCGGAAAACAATCGTTTGTGTTGAAGCCTGTTTCCCATTAGAACATACTGTAAAGATACCCCCCCACCCCTGTGTCCCCCTCACTTCTAAAGTGAAAATTACGTCCATGCGGCTTCTCTGGTGTACGTACGTGCGTCCCAGCGGCAGACCACAGAGCGCGTAGATGGCCAGATGTCTGTTTGGTCCAGAAGGAGAGATCCGATGACTGCTCTGATGTAACATCTGTGATTCAGTCAACATCTCTTGACTCTCAGGGAAATGACAGCCGGCGCGTTTACTGGGAAAATGCAGTTGAAACCAGTAAAGTTGCTGAACCCAATTTAGCCCCAGCAGGACCAGTTAATGTTCATGATTGTGATCTGAATCCAGCTGTGTTTTGAAATGCACCTGATTGCACCAATGTTGTTAATGTTCTAGTAAATTACTCATCCATGTTGAAAACTCCACTTTCCTACTTTTCCCAAATTCTCACATTTTCCATAACATTTCCAGCTTTATCGTTTAGAGTTTGGGACAATTATTTACCAAATTTGTAATCAAAATTCCATTGAATGAAATAAACATTGGGCAAAAATAAAAATAGGTTATTTTTCATATTATGACAACTTTTTTCCATATTTCAGTCTTTTCAAAACTACAATTTTCATTCATTTTATTTTGTGGATCATTTTTCAGGAGAGAGCATGCTAACTATGCGCAGAAAGGCAGCAGCTGGGATTCGAACCTACGACCTTCTCACTTTGAGGCCACAATTCCACCATGCAGCCCGTAAGATCTTGTGTAGGTATAAACCATCCACTGAAGTTTGAAAATCTTTGCATATAATTTGTTCATTCTGTTCATACCAACCTCTGTACATTTTATATCTCTTATCTTATTGTTTACTTTATTCATTTCTTAAATATGTATGTACGCATTATACACACACTCACACGCACACACGTAGAAAAATAAAAAAATAAAATACTTAGCACACACATTTAGGAATGTATATACCTTAAATACTATATATATTATTACTTAGATTAGCCATTTTTATATTTTGCTTGTTTTTACGTTATTGTATTTTGCACAACTGTTGCTGTGAAGCTCGCACACAAGAATTTCACTCACATGTACTGTACCAGTGTACCTGCACATGTGACGTGACAATAAAAGTGATTTGATTTGATTTCTAGGCTACTGTGGGAACACAAAGATGCTACATAAACAATTCCCGTACGATCACTCATAAAAACAACGTATTTATGACAATTATATTTGTGCATAAAAAATACCCAAAGCATGACCTGAGTTTTAAACACTCTGTCAGCACGACAGCACGCCAGTAACATGTTTCAAACATGCCTTGCAGATCTCGAGCCTATTGCACATCTGCAAAGCAGGAGCAAGTCTGATCTATGGAGGCCCCATGCTGAAGCCCAAAAGACCCAAAGCACGAACTGAGAATGTTCCGGTGCCAAACGCCACAGGAGACCTGCTTTGATCCTGACTGGTTACGGCTTTTTTAGTGATGCAAAGGGGCTTTATGTTACAAAAACATGGAATGTCAGTGTTGCAGGTGATTTACACACGGTGGAACATTTGAAAAGTAGCTTTGCTTTCGTAATTGTTTACATATATGTTAAAGTTCATTTGCAAGGACTTATGGAACTTGGAAAAAGAGAAAGAAGGCAGAATATAGATCTTTTCCTGTCAAGAAACATAGTAGATTAAAAAATCTGGTATAATTCATAGAATATCTTTGTAATTTTTCTGATTTAAAACAAGAAATTAAGTTGTTAGAGGAGTTCAGAGTGTAGCTTTTGTGTTGGACTCAGACACTCCTTTTCTTTCATCCATGAAGTTAATAAAAAAAAGAGATTTAGCGAGGAAAGGGCCAAAGGGTGTTTGGTTTCTGGCTGTTTGTGAGTGACAGAAAGATAAAAATGCTAAAGGAACATATGGCAGGATGTGCAGATTCCTTTCAGTTTAAGACAAATAGGATGTATGCCTGTTAGGACTGATAATATCACTGATAGCACAAGTTATGGCAGTCAGTGTGTGCATGTTAATATATTTTAGCGTTGTTTAAGCATGAATGTGTCGTCTGGTTTTGGTTTTAAACTAAATGTGTGCATTTAGTTGTGTTACCAGAGTTAGGCTGTGAATAGTGTGGGCTGTTGTAATGGTGATTTGCCTCCGTTTCAACCCCTGAGCGAAGGTGACTTAGTAAAAAGTAGGAATTTTGAGATCAGGTTTTTTTTCTGCGAGGTGTGACCAAACTTTGGAAATTCCCAGTGGTCACATCGTCACCCTGCAATAGCTTTTCCAAAGTTTAACAAGAACAATGTTTCTTCTCTCTTTCTCTCCTATTGTGTGTATTATTAAATAATTTCCTTTTAACCAAATGAACCTACATTTTTATTTGGAATAATGCTCTGTTGCCATTTATTTTAGCTAACAGCTGTTCTAAACACAGCCAAAACCAACATATCGCTGCCATCTTACATGAACATATCTCCCAAATTTCACAAATTTTCTCCATCATTTTGCCATCCTATGCTTATAATACAACATCCTGAAGGAATGCGCTGCACTTGCTTAGCAACTTCACTTTTGTTGAATGTAAGCTCAATCTGTAATTTGAAGCTGTTCAGTGAACTGTTTACAATATTTCTATAACATTTACATAGAAAAATAAGCCAAATTGACCCAAAAAAATGCCCTTTATTGTTATAATGCCAAATGTATTTTACATTTCTAAAATTGTAAAAGCTCTTGAATAGGATTAGTACATTCAGTCATCGGTTAGGTAGATTACAGGCTTGTCTTGAGGACATAAAAATTTGGATGACTCTAAACTTTTTGCTTTTAAATCAAGACAAGACGGAAGTTCTCATCTTTGGACCAGAAATCCAGAAAAGGAAACTGCTTAGCCAATCACCTGACCTGAATGGCATTACATTAATCTCCGAGAACAAAGTAAGGAACCTTGGTGTTATCTTTGACCAGGACATGTAATTCAAATCCCAGGTTAAACAGGTTTGTAGGATTTCCTTTTTCCACCTTCGAATATTGCTAAGATTAGAAGCATCCTTTCCACGAGTGATGCTGAAAAACTAGTTCATGCATTTATTTTTTTATTTTTTATTTATTTATTTTTTTAACCGTGTCCTGTCTGGCTGTGAAGCAAACAGAATTGATGTCTGAATGCTGGTGACAAGCCTTACAGATTTACTCTCAGGTGGAGCATCAAAGCGTCTGCTTTTAATGTCACGCCTGATACTTAAAACTTTATTGTTATTGTTTTTAAATGCTTTGTAATTCCGACCAGACACGGAGTCAGAGGTGAAAAAGAAAGGAAAAGACAAAAGGTGGGGTTCCACAAAAATAAACAATAATGGACAAGAGTCTGCTTCTAGACCTGCAGAAAGAGAAGAGCAGAAAATAAAGGGACACACAACAATACATCAGGAGCAAACTATCACTGCGTCAACGTGATGATGAAATATAAAATCAACATTGTTTAACTGAACAATCACACGATAATAAATCACAGTTCATTTAGTGGCAACGACAGCCTTGATACAAGTGTTGAACGTGCCCAAGCCCATACTTTTGAGAGCACCATGTGAGCACCTGTGTGTGTACACGTGCTTGTTTATGTAAGGTTTCTCTATAGGAGCGTCCAACAGAGAGTGTGAGGGACCACAGATCTGCCCCCAAAGATGCGCAGGAGACGGGGGGAGCTCCAAGTCCCAGAGATCCAGGCGCTGCCCCAGAACACAGGAACCCCAAGGGGACTGCAACCAGAAAGCCCTGAAGATCACGGGCAGCCATTGTGAATGTGCCAAAACCGGGGTGATGGGACTGTCTGTTGGAGTTTGCCAAAAATCTAGCGGCAGCGTTCTGCGCAATCTGCAGCCGGTTCATAGCTGAAGCAGGAGCGCCAATGAACAGTGAACTTGCCTGGTCCAAATGAGAGGTAATAAAATCATTTTTCACAAACTCCATGTGTGAACGTTTCAGTACTGGGTTCAGGCGTGTCAAACGGCACAGTTGAAAAAATAATTTAAAGAACCCATGGTGTAATAACTGCATTTAGTGACACATTGAGGTCAGTACATGGAAAACTTGGAACAGGCGATGTGGGTGAAGGTTTCTAGGCTCAAAAAGAATCGACTCAATCTTTGACTCATTCGTACTTAGGAAGTTTGCAGCT